GGCTGAATCCTGCTGTGAAATTAAAATGGAGGAAGGTGAAGATCTTTAATCTTAAAATTACGTGTTATTGAAAAACATAAACTGTTCGATATTCAAAGATCCGGACTGCAGGTGTAATCTCTGCCAGCAGGAGGCGCTGTTTAAACACACCTTCCCATCAGCTGTGTTTGTGGCTGGCTTCTTATTGGACGTTTCAGATGCCTGGGGGTCAACCTCCTCTTCAATCACTTCTTTCTGGTGTTTGAGCTTTTCCTCCTCCAGGCGGCGCCGTTTCTCCCGCTGGCGCTTTATGGCCGTCACCCGGTATCTGATCGCCTTGGCAATCACCTTATAGTCTGCTTCGCACACGAACCCCAGCACCACCTGTGACACAGAGACACAGGTAAGACCACCTGCCAACTGGTGTCATGGTGTGATGCCACCTGTGCGGCGGTGCGGGTACCATCTCCTGAGCCACCTCCTCGGGGACGTCCTTGTACAGCTCGAACACGAACTCTATGGCGTTATGGTCTTTATATTTGCCACAAAGCTTCTTGTTGTCGTCCATCCGCAGCCAGAGTTTCAGCGACGTCTTCGAACCATCGTCTTCTTCTGCCAGTTCCACGTGGACGCCCAGCTTCTCCTGGAAGAACCGGTGATCCAGCAGGTCCTGAACTGTGAACCTGAAGGCCAGAAAGACAAACAAACACTGAGTTTTCCTGCTGTTACCACAGGCCGTGAACTGCCCACAAACTCATGGCATTACCTCTCGCTGCTCTTGGTGCGGATGCAGCCCTCAATGATCTCCCTCAGCTCTGGGATGGTCACTTTGGAAAAACTCTCAGGTTTGATTCCCTGAGAGACAAACAGGAAGTCAAAAATCTGGGCATGAGGACATGAAGTAAAACGCGCTAAGCGAGGGCGGGGCCTTACACTGGTGACCTTGCGGTAGATCTGGCCAGCGTTCTGACACTCAGAGTATGGATACTCGGAGGTCGCCATCTCCAGGATGCACATGCCGAAGGCGTAAATGTCCAC